GACATCCACATTGGCAGATATCCACATCCATGTTTGGATATCCACACTGGCAGATCTGGCCCTAAACAGTCTGGTTTGGTATTTTTGTCTTACTGGCAATTACCTAACCTACCTCAGTAGTAGTGTTGTGTTACAAAATCTATCAAAGGTTTCCTGCAACTGTGAAGGACATGACATCTCTTCTTCTTGTGCCACATAATATAACTCCTACAAGCTCAGAGCTGGAAGAATTCCTTGACTGGCATCTCGAGAGTGTGTGTGTGTCCTTCCATCTCCCTGCCTTTTTTTTCAACATTTATGAAAGGATGAGGCACTTCATAAGATGTTCTAGCCTAGCCTTTAGAGTTTTAATAGCTTTTGCTCTCAGCAGAAAGCGGTGCTAATGTTCTGCTGCAAAATTTTCTGCTGCTCACTGTAAATGTCTTTATAGTTATTTTATATTTGGGTTTATTCAATATGTTTAGTAACAGTAGCATAGTTTCTAAATATGCCCAGTTGCTTCTGGAGGGATTCAGTAATTGAGATTTTAATTGAGATTAGTCCTGAGGTTAAGGACTTCTACTAGGACTTCTACTCTCTGTTGCAGCAGCTTTTCTCCCAACTCATTAACTCAATTTTTGCTCTTCTAACACAGAAACCCCGTTGCAGCCCTCATCTTCTGCAAAATTAATAAATTCCCATGACTTCAGCTGAGACATGTTATTCATATTAGTGTGAAGGGAAAGTAGGGTGTGTGATTTTATAACTTGGGAGTGTTTTTAAGGGGTCCTGAAACAGTGAGTCATTGTTAGCTTCTGCCTGTCTTTCAAGTGTCTGCTCTCAGTCTGGCAATAACTTTGCAGGAGATGACTCAGGGGGGTAAGCCACACCATAGTTTAATATTTGACTAAGATTAAAAGAGCTCTTAGACACACATGGCTTATAAGAAGCTTGGTGTATCACCTGCCTTCTTTCTATATGATCACTCTTGAGACCTCAGCACCTGTTAGCAGCTGGATGCTCACCTTCCAGCAACAGGCAGAAAAATAAGGATGAATTGGTTCAGGTTCCCTTTTGCCACATTGTACAACCCATCTCCCTGGCATCACCACCCACAATGACTTCCTCACAGAAGCTTGTCCCACCGGCTGCTACAGACAAATCCATTCTGCTGCGTTTTACCTGGGAACCACTCCATGTATTATTAATGCTTGGGAGACAGGTCTGCTTACTTGCTTGTTTTGTTGGATTTGCCTCAGGTTAAACATCCTGGTGTGGTTTAGGGGTGAGACCCGGATGCAAGTGACAGCACAAAGATGTGGCAAAGGAAGGAGACAGGAAGGGATCTCATCAGGCTATGACTAATCACTGGTCCTGTGGAACAAAGCAAGAGAAAGGATGACAGGCTGCTGAGTCCTCCTGAGAGCCATTCCCATTGCATCAAGGGTAGCTTTGGGGAAGGGAGGTATAATGGAGGTATGTAGTTTCTGTGGAGAAGTTCTTGTCTACAGTCCTGCATGGCACTGGCTTTTATTTCAATGTTACTAACCAAGGTAAATCTTTAAGGGCCAGAGCACTGGGAAAGGAAGAAGGGGAAACAGTGTCTAGACTGGTTACATGGAGAAAGTATCTGCACTTTTGTCCTGTCTATACTAGGCTTTTACAGGGAGATAGGTATGGAAATGTGAAGCAAAGAACCTTCAATTTGCAGGAACTAGAATAAACTTACATTTCCCACTGAACTTCACAGTTCACAGGCAACTTTAGCTGTTCTTCAAAGCACCTGTGATTGGAATCGGATTTTCCATGAGGTTCCCCGTGGTCTCTCCTTCTCCGTCACTTCCCACAACATCAGCATCGCTGGAAACCTTCTTTCAGCACCTCCAGCCCAGCTGCCAGTGGAAAAGTCTGCTCTCCCATCTGGTTGTAGATGGAGATTTCCCTGCAGGTGTGAGCAGTACAGTCCCTGCAAATGTAACTGCATCCTTTCAAGGGGATCAGGTCATCATTGACTTCTTGGTGCAAGAGCTGTACATTGTCTGCAAGCCTGAAATGCTGAAAGCAGGCTGGAAAACAAGGAAGATCCCCTTCAACTATTCAGCCAGTGTTTTTCTTGTCTTTACCCTTCATAGACTTCCCGAAACCTCTGTGCCACATGAAAACACTGATCATGCTATCAGTGCTGTGGGCTTCTTTCTGTAGGGAAACAGCAAAACAATGAAAGAGAGAGAGCAATAAAACAATATAGGTAGGTTTTTACAGATTCCCCAAATAATCCATTTGGCATCTAATTCACGTTGTCAGCTTCACCTAAGTATTCAAGGGGAAGGGAGGGCTTCTTCCTCAGTGGAGATGGTTACTTATTTCACTACAGGATGTCTGAGGATGGACACAGATAAGGACAATTACTTTCCTGAATAAGGAGAGGGTCTAGGGTTTGCTCCCCCTGTGGTGTTCCAAAGCAGTAGGTAAAACTATTTCTCATTTACCCTTCTCAGCTGCTGCTGAGCCATTAGTCTTTACGGTTCACTTGACTTTCAGTAAGGGAGGCCTGAGGCAGGGCAGGTGGGCAGGCTAGCTTGTCTGACCTCGTTATTGCTGAGACCTGTCTATCTCCTGAGGCAGTGCCAAATGGTGCAATTTTTGGTCGATCAGTCCAATACTAAATTGGGAAATATTTTCCTCTGTCACTTGTCATTCTTCCTCCTCAGTGCCCTTTCATTGCCTTGTGAAAGGTGAGACTGTCGGCGGAAAGGAGTAAGTCTGATTACCGACATCTGACTGAAGAATATATAGGCTCCTCTCTGCATATTGGTGGGAAGGTAGTAGTACTTCTCAAGTGAGAGGTGAGGACTGTTTGAGCTGGAAATCCCTGTGTGTTCCTGAATTCTCCACAAGCTGAGGGTGAGAGATGATACACTCTCCCTTGTTAGAACTCTGGGGCAATGGTGCAGCCTTTTTGATTTCCATGCTCCCATGGAGACACCAAAAAATAAGGGAAGTGGATGATGGATATCAAGATGCTGGGTGTACTGGTCATGCTTACTTGGGACTCTGGATTTTTTGAATCTCCAGTCTTGGCTACATTTTCTGATCTGCACAACTTTTTTTTCTGTGCCTGTTCCTGCTCACAGGAAATTGCAGAACCTCTTTACCTTGTGGTGTCACTGTAGTATTGATACAGTCACCTCTGCTGGCTTCACTGGTTTAATTTGTGTTAACTATCATGTTTGTAACCACAGTGAAAGTGATTATTTTCTAAAGCAGGTGGAGAGTGGCTTCTGCTGTCTTGAAGGGAAACATTCCTCCCTAGGCTGGGACTCAAGGGAAAGGGGCCAGCCTGGTTCTCTGGAAAGATGAGCTGGGGCTCTGCTGAATTATTAAATACACACCACAGCCATCAGCTCAGAGAGAAAAAGAAGCACCAGCTTAGGTCACAGGTGCAGGATGGAGATTATTAAGAACAGAGGAGTGTAACTGGATCTGACTCATGCCCTTTGATGCTCTGCTGCCTTGATCAGTGTCACAGCTGCTTGGCACTATGATGCACATGCTTGGCTTGGTTTGGTAGGCCTCTCTGGCATCACAGACAGTCGGAAAAGTCCAACTCCACAGCACTGAATCCTCCTGCTTCTTTCAGGGGCATCTCACTCTTAGAGCAAGCCTGGAGGAACAGCAACCCTAGGTCACACACATGGAAACTGAGACACAATGTTTCAGTCTAACAACTCAAATGTGTTGACCACATTTAAACCCCGTTTGTTCACCAACATAAATGATATGCAGATTTGCAGAGGACACAATCACAAGCAGCTGCAGCAGGAGGTCCACCGGAGCTTATGTATCTGCAATTCTTGTGAAAAAACAGGTTGTCTGATTAGATGACTTTGTTGCCCAATTATGTGTGTCCACTCCAGAAGTTTTGGGCAAGGTTGTATAGCCCTAGGCTATAGGGAAAGATAACTAGGTTGAAAATAAGATCACATCTCCCAGCCATGCCTGAGATCTCCGAGATCCTTCCGCTGTGCATGTCTTTCTGTCCCTTTGGCCACGTGAATCTGCTGTGATGCGAGGAAAGGACAGGATGGGGTGTTGCACTGTGAAGAGAGTCATGCAGCTGCTTCTTGTTCGGTAGCAGCTGGCACTTACCAGCACTGGCAGGTGGCTGGTGCACCCATAGGAGATGCTGCCTCATTCAAGGGGACAATATCCCTTACTCTGAATGAGGCACCCAGTCCTGTTCCTGCAGGAACTTCTACCACACACTTAAGGACTGATCTTGCACTGTTTTTGCTTATTTCTCTTGCTTTAATCATAGATTGAAATAGTTTACTACTGGAGGAGGTCTACTTTATCAGTAAATATTTATTTCTATATTCCCACCTTGTAAGTCTCGTCCTCTTTCTCTTCTGTTAATGCCAGCCTCTCTGGAGTTCCTTGGAAATATAGGTTGTTTTCCTATGTTTTCCTCTTTCAAGTATGTCAGTCCTTGAACACCAAAATAGAACACTTCTAACTGGAGACAGGAACTTGTCATCTGACAGTGTTTCTCCTTGTTTCACAAGTTACCTTGTGAAAATCTGCCTGTGTTGGGCCATATTAACCTTTGAAATGTCAATAGTTGTAAATGCATTATGAGATGTTCAATGGCTTTTGCAAGGTTTCAAACAGTTAAGAATCTCTGAAGAATCTGCACTCACTGAGTAGGCTCTGAGCCTCTCACAACACAGATTTTTTGGTCTAAATAAGACAGTTTTAGGAGTGAGATTAGAGGAAGGATATAGTCAAGCAGTGAGGAAAAATGAGTAAAGCTGCTTAAAGTAAATAGCTGACAATTGTCTTCTGAACAGAAGTTTTAGGCTGTCTGAAAAGCAGAGGAGATATTATCAGTTTCAGGTATACTTTAATACTTTATTCTTCACTGATGTGAAAGCAAGTTTCAGAATCAGCATTTTGTGGAATTTCCCGTCAGAAAAGGCTTTTATTTTTTGCTCACATTAAGGATGAAAAGAAGGACTGTAATGGCCCTGCTCATTTTGCTATCACCCTGTGCACGAGATGTTGCTGGCTGGCAGTACCACCATCCCTCTGTGGACAGAACTGTGGCAGAGGGACTGGGTAAGACTTCCAAAGGAGACCAGCCCCCTTGCAGACTGCCCTATGCTGCCTGGCAGCAGCTATCAGTGGGAGAAGGGTTGGTTGTTTTTCCTTTGGTTTATCTAGCTCTTGGTCTCCAAACTGGAAATACCTTGGCTGTCAGGAGCAGCAGAGGCTTATTTGCTTTTTCCACATGAATCATGAGACTGGAGATGTTCAATCTGCTCCATGATGGAGGGTCTCAGCCTGTTTCTCTGTTCAGTGGGGCAGCTCCCTGGGCAGATTGCTGGAAAGCTCTGGGAACAGATGAATAAAGAGGTGTGAGAGCATCTGGAGGGACCACAGGTGTCCCAGTGCCCTGGCACCCTGTAAACACAGCCAGCCTGATTTCTGTTCCTCTGAACTGTACTGCTCACATGTATCCTTCTAAATGGTACAGGGCAATAATGCTGCAGACCTTTAACCTGTATTCCAGTTAGGAAGAAACTGTAAACCAAGCAATGATAATATATAGTCTGATAGCAGTTTATGATACTTCAGCAGGTGAACCTGTTTACCATGAATAATACTTTTCTATGGGAAAGAGATGATGCTATATCCTGAATCAGGCTTTCCCCTGCAGTGTCATCATGTGTACACATTGTACTATTTTTCTAATAGGAGCACAAATATTTTCTTTTATTCCAGAAGCCTCTTGCTCAGATGATTTCAAATTCAGGCCACTGGGATTTCTACAGAAATTTTTGAGAAAGCTGGAATAAACTTAGAGAATGTAGAACAACGTAAAATGAAACTGTTGAGCCCAAGTTTGGGTTGCAGTGTCATTTCCTGACCTATTGTAAAATAGTGGATGTAGCCACCTAACTCCAGACCACTTCTTATGTGTGTGATGGGTCCAGTGCTTTAGCTGGAAAATGCCAAATACACCATTTCAATGGGAGCTAAACCCTGTAGCTGCAGGCAAAGTAGTTTACAGAGTCGAGTATGAACTGCAGCAGGATTCAATGCATTATGTATGGATCAGCCCTCTGGAATTGCACATGCATGTAAGTTATGCCTGTAGGAAAACAGTAATTTAAAACCTCCTTCTTCTCCGCCTCTTGGAGCTGACTTACGTTAAATATTAACAAACTTGGTTCATCGATTCCCTGGTTCACTTGGCTTCTTTTAACAACAGACGTTACTACAACAACTCTGTCTGCCTCCCTGCTTCTGTCAGCACAGCCAATGGTGAAACCCAAGAATCTGCAGCTGTAACTCTGCCTGCAGAGCCTGGCTGCTGACTCAGTCCTATAGTCATCCCCAACTTTCTTCCTGAGATCACAAATGCATCCCACCTTCGGCGTCTTTGAGTAGTTTGTACTGAGAGACACTTGCTGCAGAGAGGCTTTGGTTAAAGGAGACTGAGGAAAGGTGTGAGTGAGCCCACAGGAAGGTGAGTTCCTCTTGTCAGAGGAGGAAGCAGTGAGCATGGCCAGCAACCCCAGTGCACTGCCCCGGGTAACCTTCCAGACACCGGAGAAACCTGGGGAGGAATCATCACACAGGAAACTGGGCAAGTTGACCATAAAGTATAACCGCAAAGACCTACAGCGCTGGCTAGACCTGGAGGAATGGATCAATGCCCAACTGCAGGAGCTATACCAATGCCGGGTGAGTAGCTGGGGCAAATCAGCTTGGTAGGTTAATGGGTCTAGAGAACCTGTGTGCTGGGACAGAGGTTTGCTTGCTCTGCCTCACTGGAAATAGTTTCTCATCTTCATTCTTCAGTAGATATCTCCTTGCCACCTGCTGCAGTCCTCTCTCTGACTGGTGTGTCGGCAGGCAGAGAAGCTTGCACTGATACAATCCAACCAGCTTTAAATTGCCTGGCATTGCACCCACTGAGGGGATGTAGCTATTGCTCAGCACGAGTAGCAGAACCTGGAGAGATGTATAAACCCAGGATGCTTCTTGTTGCTGCACTCCATGTGGTGAGTGGCTTTGCTGCAAGCAGTATTTAAGCTAGCTGGGTTAGAGTTATCAGTGTATCCCTGTTCCTTTTTGACACAACAGTGAGGCTCTACCTGCTGTTTGAAAGAGACACTTCGGATAATGCTGTATCTGTAGGTGCTGTCTGGACACACTACTGACAGAAGGAGAAGGGAAAAAAAATCCTATGCACAAATGTGTAGATCTTATGCCTTCTTGTTCACAAATCCCCAGAGCCGTCTTCCTTGCCTGAACTTCCCTTTGCAACAGGAACAGTCCTTAAATTCTTTCTCCCTACCTGAGAGTTGTCCCACTAAGAAAGATCCAGGAGTGCCTAGGTCCAGCACCTGAATGGTGTGGGTCTTTATTTCAGCTGTTGCAGAGTAGATGACAGTTTTTTATTGGGTAGGTGACATTTAAGTCAAGTTCCAGCACTGGCTGCTTACACTGAAATTTTAACCTTGTACTATCATTTCTGTGCATATACTGTGCTTAGATGGATAGCTCTTATGCTGGGTGCTTTCGTAAGTGATAGTGCTTTTCCATTCCTTTGGAGTGTGGTACAGGAAAAGGTGAAAGGATTTCCTACACTGTGCATCATGACCTTAAACCCATTTAAATAGCTTGACTAAGAGTTTTTCTTTACTCTGTAGGGCAATGGCCAGTACAGTAAGAGAACAAAGCTTTCTTGACTCAGAGCCCAGTACATCTTCAGTGGAAGACATAGATGAGTAAATTGTGTAAAACAGCTTATTCATGTCTTGGATGGGAATGGACTAAATGAACTGCCAAGGCCTTTCTGTCCTGTCTTCTGTATTTGCACCTCAGCACAGTGCTAAGCACATTTAAGGAAAAAAGAGTTGATGATTGCTTAGAGTCTTCCACTCCGAGCATCAGCACTTTCAAATTGCAATCAAAAATGGAAGTGGATGTGTTAGCACAGCCCAGGAAAGGTAGTTTTTGTGTTATATGCCATGATGGTACAGAGAAACTTTTGCCTGCCCAGGGTGATTTTCTTAGCCTGAGAGCCATAGAACGATGTCAACTCCATAGCTGAAGAGCCAAACTTCAGGAACTGTCTCAGGGCTGTCTTTATTATTGTTGTTGCTGTTGTTTTTTACTATTGTAGTCATTATTGTCATAATTTTCTGTGTGAATTTTCCCATTTGATATTTGTGGGAAGGTACCAGATTCTCAAGCCACGTTGGGAGATAAAAATAGTTCATTTCTGTTTTAATTTATGCCATAGGCAAATAACAGGCAGCAGAAAACAAATATGGAGAAAAGGTCCTTCCTTCTACTGCAAATGAATGGTTCCTCTGAAAATTCCCCCTATGGGGAATTACTGCAGTTTTAAAGAGTTAAGTTTTTGGGACTTTTTTGGAGACAGATGAGAAGCACTTCGTAGCACCAGCCACATGACCCAAGATGGGGCTCCCTATGTGCTACTCTTACTTGCTGAAGTCTAGCGAGATAGACCTTTACACTTGTAAAGGTGTAAGAAAAACAAGTCAGCTTACGTTATCACTTCTGCTCTTCTGAAAATTAAGATCTGTTTACTGTCATCAGAGCAGCTGCCCAAAGGGGACATTTTTTTCCCTACTACAAAATGCCAGCAGGCACAAGTGAGAAACCCAGCCATGCCCTTACAGAAACAGATTGCCAGTGGATTGCCTTTGCTAGCACCTCTCCAGCACAACAGATTTCCCTACTTCCTGATGTATTCAGGCTGGCCTAAGAGATTTGCTACCAGGAACTACATAACACGATGGTGTGCCAGGTCGGACTATTAATAGGATACAACGGGGGGGGTTACATAGGATCTTTTCAAATACATACATGTGTCACAGTAATTGCTTATAATCACCCAGGTGTCCAGCAGGTCCTCCTGTTCTCCTCTGTGCATTGTGGCAAGAGTATTTAGCTAACCCTGCTACTCTGAGCTTCCTTGTGTCCATCAACTTCCATTACATTTACCATTTTCTGTTACCTCTTACTTTGCTCCACCTGCCCTTGGCAGTTCCTCAGTGTCTTCTAGACATTCAAATGCCAGCAAGGTTAGTTCAAACATCACCTCCTGATACAAGTAATATGAATGCTATGATGTTTACTATCATGAAGCTTTTTTGCAACCAAACTAAGACTTGGTGATTTTCAAAATGATTCCTTGCACATGGAATCCAGAACAGCATCCACACTAGGACCAAAAAGCCACAGGGAATTACTAACCTGTCTCACCCTCAGCCAGAGACAAAGTTGAACTGGATCAACACCTGCTTTCTAAACAGTTACATGGAAACTATTACTTTAAAAAAAATGCTGTGTGGGTCACAATGCAATATATTTAACTCTGGTTTACTATTTATTGTTAAGTTAGCTGCATATCACAGTTAAACAAAGGCTTTCTACTTCCTCTCTGGCATACAGAGAAATATCAGACACTGCTAAGAAAAAGTTTCTTTTTATCCTGTAAGTATTGCCTTTATGTTTAATGTTTTACACATACATCTGTAAATGCTAGTTCGCAATCAGGTACTGTGCTGTTTACCCAGTATCTTTACTCTGCTGATTATTATGTCAAAATATCACTAGTGTTGTGCTGTGAAAGATTCATTTTGCAAATACACTGGAAAACCACAACCTGCTTTCCTTAAAGACTTGTAGAGACTTTTGAAGCTTTAATGTGTCCGTGATCAAGTTTTACAAATGTTTCCAACTAACACCCCGATGTAGCACAAGATTATTACTCCAGTCACCAAAACTTGGGGTCCCTCTTACATTAAAGAAGACTATTATGTCCCACTCATGTCTGTTAGAGAAAGCTGGCAAAATACTCTTAGGTCTTTCAACAGCATAATTGTTTTTCTCTCCATTGCTGCAAAAAGCCTTAGTATAAATACAAAGTATGTGAATGTAATTAGCATAAAAGCCTAAAATCTTCCTGTATTATTTGTGCCTCTCAAACACTAAGCCTGCTGGATTTGTTTGGTGAACTCTTCATAGATGAGGGGTGTCACAGGCTGTCTTAAATTGCACTGCAGTTGGATAGTCTTGAAAGGGTCTTTCCATGATGGATTATGATCCCTGAGCAGTGCAGTGGTGGGAAAAGATGAAGAATGTGTACATCAGGAGGTGTGGTTCTAGCAGACTACGCAAAAGGGCTGGAATCTGTACCCTCTTTATAAGAACCTTCTTATTTTGAGATGATTTATATCATGACTTCAATTTTGCAGCACAGTTTTATTGTAACTCAGCTACTCAGTTCTTTAAAGATGGACTCTAGAGTTCTTAGATGTTGGAAGGTTTATTAACTGTGGTGGGTTTTTTTCTTTTTAGCTAAGGGAAGAAACAGAGACAGCAGCTCCTGAACCACAAATTGATCTTGAAGATCTCCTGGAGGTCCCTAATGAAGAACAGAAATTAAAACTACAGGTCAGATAGAGAGACTTGGTGACTTTAGATTAGGGACTTCTTAGAGTAGTGGTGGGGGGGGTAGAGAATATGTGTTTCCAGTGTTGTATGATGCTTCCCTGTGTTTTCACTTGTCAGAGGTAGTAAGATTATACACATTTTTTGTAGAGAGGAGATGATTAGATCAACTCATAAATACTAAAATGATGACTCCTTGTTTTTTTAGGAAATCCTCCATGAGTGCTCCAGCCCTACAGAGGTGAGTGAAGCACCATATACACGTATGTATGTTAGTTATATATTATACTGTGCTGCTACAATGTGTCTTTGTTGCTGCTTGGCTGAATAGCCAAGATATTACTGTACTGTAGATTCATTTAATCCTAATGGGAGGTGTTTGCCACTTTATTCTGCTGTGTTACAAAATTACATGTAAATCTACATGGGTGAGCTGAAGGCAGAGCACTGGAGGAAATAAGGAATTATGCTTTACAACCAAAGAAAGTTCATTCATTCCACATTTTGGAATTTTGGAATGACTAGGCTGAGTTGCTATTTGGTCCTCAGTGTAGAAAAGCCATAGATAGCAATACAGTTCACATAACAATATTGCACACTGCCAACTAAATGCATTCTTAGCTTTAACCACTCTATGGTTATGAATGACAAGAATGTAAGATGGTCTGCATGTTGGATTGGGCAGATAAGTGCCATGTAAGTTAGTTATACGTGTGGGTTTCTTTTCCCCATGTGAACTTTACAAGTATTGATCTTGAGTTAGAGAGTTAAAAAGTCCCACAAGCAGCCACAACGTCCAGAGGAGTGGAGTCTAATACTTTGCAGTGTAGTGCATGCATCACAGAGGAATTGCCTTTGCTGCATTGAATACCTGTGCAAAATGGGGTCCCCCATCACTGCTTCAGCCACATGCATTGCATGTGAACATTGTGCTCAGACATCGTTCCTCAGACTCCACATCTTGTCGAGCCTATGTAGCTGTACAGTGATGAATATACAGAAAATGAGATGAATGCATGACTATCACTGAAATTAAACTGGGCTGTAGCAATCATTACAGATAGTCTCCTAGCAGGGGTTCAACAAAGCTGGCAATACAGAAATAGTTTTCAGAGTGTGTGAATTTCAGATCTGAGGCAAGAATCCCACATTCCCTGAGTGATAATTGAAAAGAGTTTGCTCTACTGACTCATAAGCCACGAAGGTGTCTTGTGGGCAGCAGGGTACCTGCTGAATACAGATACTGCTACCCCATTGGCAAACCCATGTACTTTTACCCTGGTGATCTTGAATCCTCTTGAAAGATCTCAGCAACCTAATTCCAGAGGGCAGACAAGAAACAAAGTGGTTTCCTCTGAAAGGACTAACTGAAAAGGAATGAATGATCCTAGGCATTTACTTCCAGAGCAAGTTGTGGCAACGTCTGATACTGAAGTGAGGAAGCTGGGCTTCCACACAGCACAAATGCTAATAAGCTGCAATACTTCCAGTGACCTTGCCTAATTACAAGGACATGCAGCTATGTCTTTGGGTGAAGAAAGGCTGCACACTTCTTTATGGTGATGTTACTTGTCGTGCAAAGAGTAAAGTTTGCACATTGCCCTCTGCTTGGAATAACCAGTTGGTCCAGTTTAGTTCATAGTCCTTGGCTGTGTCAGCAAAGTATTCAGGGTTTATCACCATTAACTGCTCATCTATCTGCTCTGCCTCCCCTCAACCCCTGCTCAACGTTATCATTAGTCCTACAAGTGTTTTGCTCCACCTCTTCTCTGCCAGCCACTTCCTTGTAGAGCTGGCACAGCTCCAAGATGGTTTGCAATCCACAACATGGAGCTTTACAGGTTCAACAAGAGGGACAGCTTGCTTTGCCCTAGATTGGAAGGGCAGAAGAAGTGGGCAGGAGGTTATGGTGGCAACAGGAAGCAGTGGAACCTAACAGAGGACAACAGCATCCCGAGGTCATCTCAAGGTAGAAAAAGCAAGTATCTGGGATGAAGAGGGGTAGGCTAGCTCCTAGGGAGAAAATAAACATGGCTGTTCCAGAGGGAAACAAGGGAAGGGAAGTAGAGGAGCTTTTAAGATCCTTTTGATCCATCAAAAGGTCTCCTTTCCTAAGCTAAAAGATAGGTTTGCTCAATAGATGTCAAAATTCTGGTTTCTGCTCAACATAAAGGCAAAAGTGGGAATGATGCAAGTGCCATAATACTTTTTGGGCTGGTGAGCACTGGAATTAATATGACATCCTTCTTTAACCAATTCTTACTGCAGGACTTCATTACGGAATTGCTTAGTCGATTGAAAGGTCTCCGGAGAGTCACCAATCCTCAGAAGAAATGACCTTGCTCACATGGAACACCCAGCTTTGGTCACAAGGAAACGTGTGTCTTCTCTACAAAAACCAGGATCAGCAACAGCACTTCTGAATATGTTTAGGACTTATTACTGAGAAACATCACCAAGTTTGTGAACTTTGTACCAGTGGTTTGAAGTCTCCACTGCTTCCAGATCTACACACAGAGCAGGCAGCTAGAGTGTACATTTTCTTGATTCTTAAAGAGCATGTTAGCCTGGGGAACAGGACAAGATGTCCTTCCTTTAGTTTCTTCTAGGAATTTCCATGCTGGCCAAGGAGCACTGAATACAATTCTCAGGAGCTCGTCGAGACTTCTTTTGTTCTGTCCGCTGCAAGGAAAACAAGGCATTGGTTATCACTCATTCATCAACATGGAAAATCAGTCACTGTTAAGCTGCACCCCATTTCAGTCTGGCTGGGACCCAGCTGCGATCTCCTGCCTGTTACCGCTGTACCTGACTCTACAGCATTACACCTACTTTGTAAGTCTTATTAAGCCTCTGTTATTTATGAAGGTTGGACAGAAAATATCCAGTATGATGGAAGAAAAATGGTCAAGTGCACCTGGTCTTCTTAAGGGGAAGTTTGTGAAACAGCTGCTAAGGCTAATGGAAGAGATTTTCTTTTTTCTAAAAGGCTAAGATTTAGCCTTTTTTCTAAGTCTTTTTTCTATAAGACTTAATGATTTAGAAGTGTCTTCTAAAGGAGCAAGGTCTGGGAATGATTTATCTCATAATTTAAAAAGATGTTGTAAAAATACTTATTTTGTATATTAAACCAGAGAAAACCAGCCGTGCATTGCTTGCTTTTGTTCTCTCTTTAGGTACTAAAGAAAAACTGAAGTAAAAAAATGTCTGCTCCCAATTTCCCTTCAGGGAGCACCTCAGAGTGAGTCTTTTACAGACAAGGTAGGTCTCACAAATGAGCAGTGAAGTAGGACACATTGTCTTGCTGGACAAACTCTTTTGGCAACAACGAATGTTTGTCTGGAAAAGTACAGAGGAAACTACATCCAGCCTCTCAGCAGGTCAGTAATTTGACACATGTGACTAGGAAATAAGGTAGCAAATGGAGGCCGATTGCTTAGGCAGAGCACTCTGACATTATGCCTGCCCCTCCACTCATGCCTGCCACTCAAAACACAAGAGTTGCTGAGTCACATCCAGAGGGGCTTCTATGTACCAGTACATTTAAGGCCAGCTTTTGAGTACATGTTTTGTTTGTTTGTCAGACAGGGACAGAAGGGACCAACTCTGGAACAGGAGGGACATGCAGGTCAGCTAACAAACACAAACAAGAATTCTTGGGCTGGACCAGTAATACCTTAAATACATTAGTCTTTCCATCTTTATCAGTAGCAGAGTGATGACTATTACCTTTTGCTTCCCTCCTATTTTCCAGGTGTCAGTGAACAAGCTGTGGGCCCTGTCCTCTGAGAGGACAAAATCCAAGCTGCAGTAACAACTGTGATGTAAGGGCTTGCTTCCCTTCAATGCTGTTCTTGTAGCTGACTGGCTCCTGGAAGTTTGCAAGCCATGCAGATCATGTCTTGTACTAAGGCTGCTCCAAGATGCTCTAAGCCTCACCCACTAGGTTGGAGAAATGGTCTTCCTTTATCAGGGCCAATATATATCTATGGTAGTCCTGGGAACAGGCCATTTTTCACCTAGAAAGGGACTAATAGGACATGCCTGCCCTTCTGAAATCTCAGCTTTGTAAGTAAAATAACAACAAAATTAAATCCAGAGCTGCAACGGTTTTAGATCTGGCACTGATCATGGATTGACACCTGCTAAGACTCAAGAGAGTCACTGAGACAGGAGAGCAGCACGCGGACAAAAAAGCTCTGAGCATGGTTAAAAACAGATTGGGATCAAACAGAAGTTCAGGTAGAAGATCTAGGTAGACAGGCCATGAGCAGTGTCCTAAACTAGAGATGTAACTGGTTACATACAGTAGTACATAGGAGTCCCGATTACTTACACACCCTACCAAGAGGCTTTGTTTTACTCTGCTGAGCAGCAACAGCACAAAGACCTGACACGCCTCTCCTCTAGCCCAAAAGAGATATTCTTCTCTCCCCTGGGCATTGTTCTATATTTCCTCAATATGGAGTAATGCAAAGAAAATTTTTGTCTATGTATTAAGGCAGACATTGTTAGAACCAAGGAAAAAGGAAGTTCTCAAAACTCTGCTTGACAGAAGTTGTCTTTGTGCTTACTCTGCAAGTAGCAGGAAAGGAGTAAGCTGCAGCCCCTATGATGTGCAGTTGGGTCCAATCCATAAGGACACCAGCACCACATGAGAGAACTTCAAATGAGCACAGTGTTCACCGGGAAGAAGGTAACACGTGGCCAGGGGCAGATGATTTCTCAGCTCAATGGTGCAAAAGAAAAAGCAACACAAGGCAATTAGAGCAACTTGGTTTTTTTTTTAGTTCTTAAACAGTAGTAATTCATACTTGCTTTTATTTACACGTTGGCTATTCTCACCCTACACCACAAGTATAGACTAAAATTGGCGTTTTAATTTTTTTTTACAAATATCTTCCAGTTAACTTTGCTGTTTCTCAGCACCACCACTAGCATAAGGCTGCAATGTTTAGTATGTACATGCTGTGCCAGAATGTTGCTTTAAAGGAACTTTGCCTTCTTGATTACACCAAGATAACTCAGAACGTATGAAAGTTCATGTGCTTTTCTAATTTCAATTCTTGTTGGGGTGAAGCCTACATAAAAAACATTTTGAGTGGGAAAGAAAATCTCATCCCTTATGACATGCTACAAAGATAGAAGAAGTAAAGAAGGTGAATCTCTTTCTGGAAGATGCCAAGCTGTCTTCAGTCCTTGAATGGCTATGACTGAAGTTGACCTGGCCTATCAGGAACTGATTGTTTACCAGTATCTTTTCAAAGACAAGGATGAGGAGTAAGCAACACAGCCAAAAGTGCACTGCCCACTTAAAGGTCATGCAGCATTCATCTTACACAACAACAGATTCAGCTAGGTGTGCTTCCTGCAGACAGCTATCTGGATACCCTTTTACCCCTCCTCCGTGGAGGTCACTGAGGCAACAGCTACAGTGGGGAAGGCTTTTCAGAGGAAAGTGACTGAGCTGCTACTAAAACAGCCAATTACATGCAGAAAGTGCAGCAGCCACAAAAATGTCCATTAGTGCTGCAAGGAAAGCAGCAGCATGTGTATGACCAAAGAGACTCCTCCATGTGTGACTAAGTTCTATTTCAGGCATTGGGTTGGGTGCATTTCTGAATTCCTTGGGATGGCCCCAGAGAAACCAATCTGGAATCTAATTAAACTGCTTCCGGCTGTAACCTGCTCCATTACTACTGATGTGAACAGGGCAGGGCTTACAAGACACAGGCTGCCTAACTGCACAGGAGCTCAATGTTTGGTTGTGGCTGATGAAGCATCCAAAATGTTGCAAGTAGCACTCCAGCTCATACTAAGTTTTTTTTAAAAAATAGAAGCAGCTGTAAATCAAGAGGTTGAAGCCCAAAGGAATGGATCAGTCTTAAGAGAGATATAAGAACAGATATTTGCACCTTCCCTTGTATATACAAAACACAAAGGATTTAACCTAAGACAGAACTGGACTGTCTTACTACCAGACTAATTATCCATGTCAAATAGCAATGAAAAAGTGTCATTCCTATGGTGACACAAATCCAGAAGAGCATTTTGTTTTTCTTTTTAAGACTGCAAGCTTCTCAGGGCTGTAACTTATCTAAATTTTGTGTAACGCAGGGCTCATTGTGAGCTCTTACATCAGAACAACTCAAATAGTTTTCCTATCTGCCTGTCCCAAAGAGACAGGCACTGGTGAAGCAAGGACTGCCAGGAGAAAGAAGATCCTCCACAGAAGCGAGGCTTTGCCACCCCTTCCTAACAAAAGGTTTTGATGGCACTGCTGCATACACTTGCAATTTTTAGTGTGTTACCCTGCAGTATCACTATTCTACATTGTCTGAATCAGGTTTCTGTTGAAGGGCCTGAGCTAATGCAGCACTTCAGCACAAACCCAGCTTCAACAGCAGCTTAATTAATTTGCTGTGCTCTGACCAGGGGTGACAGAGGTGCAGGCAAACACTATTTTGTAAGTTCACCTTGGAGGTAAACTTAAGTGACCTTAAGCAGAGGGGCAGGGCAGACAGCTGGGAGTGGCAGTGTCAAACCAGACAGGCAAGATTCATTGGAAATTCCCCGTCAAAGGCAAATCCTTTATTTTGTTGCCATTGGAATTTGTCAGCCTTGGAGAGCTCTCTCAGAAGTTCACATTACTCTGGAAAGGGCTCATCCTGATGGAATAAAGCATGTTTACAGCAAGTTTAGTTGGGTATCTGAAGCAATTCTGGGTGCTCTGGACAGTGGCAAGTGCCACTTGCATCTGGATTGTCTCCAGGGAGGGATATGAACATATGCAACTGAGCTTCTCTCATAGCCAGAGAAAGAGCATCACACAGGTAACATAATTATTCTACCAGGGGAACAAATAATTAACAAAGCTAAATCCTGCTTTCAGACTAATGTACACCTCTTCCAGACTGATAGGTTGCTCTTACAGACCACATGACCTTGGCACAGCCAATGCAGAATCACAACACTGTGTATCAGTGTATCCTTTACAAAGGATCCTTCAACTGAGCAACACTGCCCATCAAGGCAGAGTAGCCCCTGCACCTTTTCCAAACACACCACAGAAACATTTTTGATGACTTCATGATTCTTCATTTCTTTCCCTAAGCCACTTGGCACAAGGACTAACATACCATTATAAGAAGGCAACAATTTGTAAAGGGCTATCAGGCGTTTCCAGGAGAGACTTTAACCACAGGCCTCTGTAAATAATTTTTATTACACTTTGAAAGTTCTCATCACACACGTGATCACAAAGTAGACAGTTTTCTCAGTGCAAAGTGCTTTGCTGCCTGTTGAACCAGTGTGTAAGCTGTTAGCAAAAGCAGGAA